CCGGTTCTCCTCGTCTTCCTTCTAATCCCTGAGGTCCTGGCCGACCATCAGGACCTGGTAAGCCTGATTCGCCTTTTCTTCCTGGGTAGCCCGCCAATCCTGTCAATCCATATCCGGGTTCGCCTGTGGCACCTAAATTAAATTATAGCGCAGATTCAAAACTATTATGTAGAAAAAATAAAAACCTTGCATGCCAGGCTGACCATCAGGCCCATCTTCTCCAATTCCTCCTTTTATTCCTTCCAATCCAGGCGATCCTTGACGTCCAGGCAACCCTCGAGGTCCTGGCGGTCCCGCACGTCCATTCTTTCCAGGAATTCCCTCCAATCCTCGTTCTCCAAGCATTCCAGGGATTCCTTCAGCACCAGGACGACCTTGCATGCCTGGCTGACCGGGAAAACCACGTTCGCCTTTTTCACCAGGAATTCCAGAAAGACCTTGACGTCCATGTTTTTCTGACATGTCAAATAGTTCTTCGATAATTGGTGGCATCTCCCCTGGGCTGCCTTCAAATCGAATTAAAATTTTATTGAAATAAAGAATTAATCACCTTGTAGTCCAGGCAATCCTGGCAGGCCAGCATCACCTTGCATTCCTTGAAATCCTTGTGCACCTGGTGAGCCAGGAAATGAATCTCCAGGTGGTCCAGGTGGACCGGGCAATCCTAACAGTCCATCACGGCCTCGTTTTCCAGGTATGCCGGCAACACCTTTTTCACCAGCTGGACCAATGACTCCCATCGCTCCAGGCTGCCCCGGCCATCCATCTTTGCCGGGAAGACCAACAAGTCCAGGCAGACCCGACATTCCACGCTCTCCTTTCTCTCCTGGTACACCTGGTGGATTCTCAAGAGGGCCAATAACATCACCAGCTTCGCCTTTTAGTCCGGGATAGCCAGGAAGTCCAGGTAGACCTTCAGAGCCCTATTAAATAATAAATTAATACCACATATGTATAATTATCATAATTAGGGATTGACTAATAACACTCAAGATCAGATGACCACCTTCCTTTTTGTTTAATTCTTGACCACTTTTTGACGAAAATGACAATTTTAGGCCATTTAAGAATAATTTTAAATAAAATATTTTGTTTAAAAAATATTTTTTATTCCTAAGGTAATTTTTCTAGTTTTAGGGTTCCCTTTTACTGAAATTTAGATTATAAAAGTTTAATAAGATTACAGGTAAACCCATTGGGCCAGGCAGTCCAAATTTTCCGGGCGCTCCTTTCGGTCCTTGTTGTCCAATAACTCCATTAGGACCAGGCTGCCCTCGCCAACCATCCTGCCCACGATCGCCTTGATCTCCCTTTTCGCCAGGTATTCCATCTTGACAAAATCCACAATCATCGCCACGAAATCCTGGCAATCCAGGCGGACCAGGTTTGCCAGCAAGACCAATTCGTCCATTATCGCCAGGTGAACCAGGCATTCCTGGTTGACCGATAGGGCCGACTTTGTTCACTCCAGTTCCTGGAAATCCTTTCGGGCCAGTTGGGCCAGTATGACCAACATCTCCAGGAAAACCAGGCAGTCCATCTAAGCCTGGCAAACCATCAGAGCCTAAAATAAAGTTGAAATAAAGTTACCTACTTTTTAAACAAAAATCAAAAATATTTTTTGAATTTAGCTCAGATTTTTCAAAAATAAATTTATTTTATTATATTCTATAATTTGTTTTTCACGGTCCAATAAGGCTTATTTCGGTTCTAAAATTCTTTGGAACGACAAATTTTTTTTGCAAAAAAGTTGCAATTACGAAAATTGAAAAAATTTTGAGTTACTAAAATTGCCCATAATAAGTAATTCAATTGGGTGATAATAGATTTTGTAGTATGTATTTCATAGATTTTCCTTAATCTCCGTGAACTTCAAATAATTCGGATTAAGTCAACATTAAAACAATCTAGGAAAATACTGAATATAACCTAACAAATAAGTTAATTTAAATTTGTTTTAATACCTGGCGGCCCTTGAATATCATAACCAGGCAGTCCTTGTTCACCAGGTTTTCCAACTGGACCAGGCTCTCCAGGTCTTCCCGGTTCGCCAAAATAGCCAGCAAAACCGTCAACACCTCGCTCACCCTTCTCACTAAATCCAATTTGTCCGGGCAAACCGGGCGTGCCCGGCGGTCCAGGCTCCCCTACGGGACCTCTCGAGCCGACTGCGCCCATTAGACCATTATTTCCTTAAAATAATTAATGAAGTACTTATTAAATTGTCTAGTCAACCTGGTGGGCCTCTTTCTCCTGGTATGCCGTCAGCGCCTTGAACTCCACGTGGTCCTGGCGCCCCATGTCCAACGCCGAAAGGCCCTGGTGGGCCAGCATCTCCTTCCGGGCCATGTCTTCCGGGATGACCAAGATCACCAGCACTTCCTTTCTCCCCAGGATATCCAGGCATTCTTGAATATTTAATTTATTCCAAGAATATTATTAAAACTACCCTGCCAATCCTGCCGTGCCTTTCTCTCCTTTTATGCCCATTGAGCCAAAATCCCCATCTTTGCCTTTTTTACCCTTTAATATTTATTTTAAATCCATATCTACCAAATATTTACTTACTCTATTTCCGGCATCACCAAAGTCACCTTTTTGGCCTTTAAGGCCCGGATAACCAGGAAGACCATCAAGACCGAACATTCCTGGCGGGCCAACTGGACCAACTCGACCTTTCTCCCCCTTCTCTCCAGGTTGACCAGCAAGTCCTTGCACTATTTCACTTTCCTCGGGACTTGTTAAAGAACTTGCCAAAAATCCGGGGGGTCCAGGCGGACCTGAACAATGGTATAGTAAATGAAATATTTATTAAACTATATAGACTTGCCTGGCAATCCTTGTTTGCCCTTTTCTCCTTTAAGTCCAGTTGTTCGTATTCCCATTCTACCTTTCTCTCCCGGTGGACCTTGAAAACCAGGCGGTCCATATGGACCCAAATCACCACGATAGCCTTTCAATCCAGGAGTTCCTACTTTGCCAGGATATCCTTTGAATAATTTTAAGTAAAAATAAGGAAAAAATTTGAAATCGAATTTTCGGATCTCAGTAAAATTGAGATCCTACTCACATATACAGTCGAATCTCAATTTTACATCAACTATTGGGGATAATAAATGTATGTGAAATAAATCTTATTATGTCACTTACCGGGTGTTCCAGGTATTCCAGGTTCTCCACGTGCTCCTTTTACTCCTTCAGAATTTATTCCTCCTTCTCCAGGAGGCCCTGGATATCCATAACGACCGGGTTCACCAGGAGGGCCTCGAGATCCTGCAACTCCTGTCATTCCTGGAATTCCATGTTTTCCCTGAAAAGAGAATAATTGGAATATTTTTTAACAATTTACATCTGTTCCATTACAGCCAGGTGGCCCCATTTCTCCAGGCAGGCCAGGTAATCCATCTAATCCAGGCATTCCTTCACGACCATGCGCCCCAGGCAGTCCTCTATCACCACGCAAGCCTTTAGGGCCAACATCGCCAAAATCTCCTTCAGATCCTTGCATTCCCTCCACTCCATTAGGTCCTTCTGGTCCATCAATGCCATGTGCTCCATGAAAGCCTTGTTTGCCTGGGAAACCAGGAAGGCCCTAATAATAATTTAAAAGTAGTTTCCATATTTTATTCATTTAAGCCCTTCTCTACCTGTTCTCCCTTTTGTCCAGGGCATATACAAGGAGGAGAACAACCTTGACATGCTGTAAATAATTCTACTTCTTTTATCCTTTCAATTAAAATAATTGTAGAAAAAATAAAAATTAAATAATTTTTCGTTGTTTTATTTAAAATATAATTATTAAAATATTTTTTTCTTTTCCTAATTTTCTTTAAATTATTTTTGTTTTTTATTTGGAATATTTTTGTTGTTATTCCAATACTGTTCATTTGCATTTTATATTTAATTAATTGTTTCAGACATTCTTTTTAATGTATAAAATTATTTAAAAAAATAAAACTCAAAATATTAGATTAAAATATTGAATAAATCGTTATGAATCTTGTGATTTTTTAAATAAAAATTTCCTTATAAATATTTTTAAAATAATTAAAAATTATTTTAAAAATATTAAAAGATTAGAACAAAATAGCCAGAGGATATATTTGTAGTCGAGAGGAGAGAAGAAATAAATGACTCACAAAATATAATATTAAACAGCCTGCAGACTTTTCAAAAAAAATTTGGCCATCAAAAGAAATCGAATTCTGGAAGGATTTTTGCTTTAATAGTTAGTAGAAGAGTAACATTTGCACATCAAAAAAAGAAAATGATTAGTGGCAAAGCTAAACAATCGATCTTTGGATAAATTACTAAATATTAGTAGATATTTGAAGAAAATAAAAAAAATATTTTGAAGATTTGGAGGCAAAAAATAAAAAAATTAAAAGAGAAATATTAAATTTAAAAAAAAGTGGTAGAATAATTTAATAAAAAAATCTTTAATTTAATTAAAACTTTAAAATCTCAAAATTAAGTAAAAGAATTTTACAATTAAAAAAAGTATTTTTTGATATAAATAAATCTACAATGATCTAGCAGCTGTGTGATTCCTTCTTCTATTTAAATACCTAATGCAAAATCTTTAACTATTGGATTATTTAGATATATAAAAAATTAAAAATATTTTCTATACTATTTCTAATAAAAATTAAAATTTTAACAATTTTTTAATCAAAAATAACAATAAATTTATTTATTTAAATATTTCAACAATTTATTTTAAAAATAAGACAGACTAGAAGCTTCGAATTTAATTAAATAATTTTTTAATTATAACTACCAGAAGTGTGTCGGAACAGTCAGAAGTGTCGGAAATAAGAAAAGCCGGAAATTGGAACTGGCTCGTCGGAAAAAAATTGGAATTGGAATTCCGACCCACCTCTGTTAACTACTTTGTTTTTATATTAACAATATATTATTATGGCAGAGATAATACTAGAAAAATTAATTTAAGAAAAAAGGGCAGTTTTTATTCTGAAAAGGCAGTTTCTTTACTTCTTCTATTTAAAATAAATTTCATTTCCATTATTAATTTTCCATTCATCTTTATTAAATTGTAAAGGTTGTTGTTGTTGATATACAATTCTTCCCTCCTCCTCTTCCTCCTCTTCTTTTCTTCCATTATCTTCAATTTGATAATTATTATTTTTATTTTTCTTTTTAATTTCCATATATTGTTGATTATCCTTTTCTTCCTCTTCTTCCCCAAATTCTTCCCCTTCCTCCTCCCCTTCTTCAATTATATTTTGTTTTTCTTTATTTAATAATTTATCCCCCTAAAAATCCTTTTTTAAATAAAATAATTTCTATTTTTTACAGAAATTTCCACATTTCCATCAGCAGCCAAATAAGCCCGTACAGAAAGTAAATCTACATCTTCAGCCAACTTCCAACGCCTATTTAATTTTTTAACTGTAACTGTCCCATTTTTATTATCCTCAACATGCTCTCCATCCAAAGCCAAAACTCTATAACTGTCTATATAAACCTTTAATTTTTTTAAATTAATTTTTTAATTTAAACAAAAAACTCTAAAATCGCTGTCATTAAAATCTTTAGCTTCCACACGAATTCTAAAACCATTTTGTTCATTAATTACTTCTTGTTCTGGTTCTGTTATTGTTTTAGTATTTATTTTATTCTTTTCATCTTCTTCTTTTTCTTCTAATAAAGGTTGTTGTTGTTTCTCTTTAATTTCTTTATTTTTAATTTTTTCTTCCTCATCTTCTTTTATTATTTGATGATTTTTACTTTCAACAAATATTGGATGTTTTTGATGATATTGTGATTGTTGATATATTTGTTTCTTTTGTTGTTGGGGAAGTTTTTGCTGAAATTTAAATAAAATAAAATTATTTTAAAATTTAATATTAATAAATATTTCTTTAAAATAATTTCCACATACAACACTGCGTAAAGAAGAATTTGTAGATGAACTATTACTATTACTTCCTCTTCTCCCAATTTTTTGTGTGTCTGTATATTCATATAAAATATTTTGTTTTGGACGAGGAGGAGGAGGAGGATATTCTTCTTCTCTTTGTTTTGAAGGAGGGCGGAATTGTTGTCGAATTTTGTGTTGACGTTGATTTGAAGGCAAAGAATATTTTGTATTTTCAATTGGATGAGAAGTATATTGTTCTATTGGTAATTCTCTATAAAATAAAGGATTAAATTATTAAAAAATATTTTTTTTCTAACCTTAAAGTAATTACTAATTTCCTTTTTCCTTCATAACTTCGACAAAGCATTGTTGAATTTAAACGGCTATTATTACTGTTATTACGCTTTTCCCATTCTTCATAATTTTGTTCCTCTAATATTCGTTCACTAAATTATACAAAATTAAAATTAAATCCTTCCATCATTCCTTCCTTCCCCTGCCCTTCCGTCTCCCTCCTTCCTAATTTCCTCAATTTCTTTTAAAAAACTTAACTATCTATTATTTTCCAAAGGATAAACCATTGGTGGTGCAATAGGCCGATAAAATTGTGGAGATGTTGTCGATGTCCATTTTTGTTCTCTAAAAGCTCTATACCGCCATTCCTGCGTTCTAACAAATTCCCGCCGTGACATAAATAAATAAAATATTTAATTAAAAATAATTATTATTTTTATTTATTTATTGAATGAAAAGAGAAAAGTGTTTTTATTGAAGCAAAAATAAAGCCTTTTTTAGGGTTCTCGACGAGAATGAAAGGATGAGGAGGTGAATAATCCACGACAATACCTCCCCTCCCCTCCCTTCCCTCCTTTCCTTTAACATTTACCTCAATATTTATTTTTTTATTTTTGTTTGCATTTTTCTTTTTATTTTGTGATTATATTCCTTTTTATTTTTAATTTTGATTCATTAATTTATAAAATTAATTTGTAAACTGAGCCATTAACATTTAAAAATTAATTAAAAATTAAATATAAATAGTTCATTTATTCAATCATTTTATGAATCAAAATATTTATTTTAAAAATAGAGGGAATTATTTTTTAATTTAAAAAATTTTCTAAGCTTTTCCTTTTGACTTTTCTCGTTTTTTAAATCTTCGTGATTCATTAAAAATAAAATAATCAGTTAAAATACGAAAAGTTGGAGATTTTTAAAAGAAAATATTTTAAAAAATAATTTTTTTATTAATTTACAGAATTAATAAAAATATAAAAATAAAACAAAGTTTTTTTAATAAATTTATTTAATAATCAAAAAAATATTGCAAAACAAACATTTAAATATAAATTCAATTTAAATATAATATCGATAAATTCTTTGGCCTATTACAAAAAAAACATTCAAATATAAAAATGTAATAGCCATTTTATGGAAAATAATAAAGGTTGAATGAATTAATTTGGAAATTAAGTCAAGAAAAATATATAAGTAGTTTTATTGTTAAATATTTTAAAGTTAAAAAAATTAGAATAGTCTAGACCAAAATTGAAAAGTCTTGTTTGAAGTTCTGAAACTTTGGTTCTCTTAAAATTTAACTAAAATATGTAAGCTTTTCCGAAAAAAACAATTCTGGCCAAACTTTCTAATTAAATATTAACCCGTTTAGGTACTAATATTTTCTTTTATTTATACATAATATTCTTATTTATTTAAAAATGAAATATATAAATAGAGATACTTTTTTTGGTTTGTTATTTTAAAAGAGAATAAAAAAAAAGAAAATTATTTTAAAAAATAAAGAATTTTAATTTCAACGGTCAACAACAGCAGAAGTTCCAGAGCCATCTGCAGGTGAATGGGAGTATTGATGTGTCAATCTAGGTCTAGCACTATAACCCCCAATTGAATCTGAACGAACAATTCCACTTCCGTTCCCATTACTTCCAAATAATGAAAGAGAAGAACCTTCGGCAGAATGCTTCTGAAATTTAAAAGTTGGTGGTTGTTAATTAATAGATTAATTTGATAATATTTTTAAGAAAGTAATAATTATAAAGATACAAGTTTAGAGATATGTACTTCAGTTATAAAAAGTCCTGAAACAAATTTTGTCGGTTTCGAATTTTTCAGTTTTAGACACTCAATTTTATTAATTTTGAAGAAACATAATTTAGATAGTCTTCAAATACTTTTTAAATTTTCAAAGAGATTTTTTTCACAATTTAATAAATAAAAAAACACCAACTCGACACATTGGTTTAGGTAATTCATCACAAGAGAAAGTAAATCCTTTAATTGAACTACCACCACAAGAGTGACAAGAAGAGACAGAAGTTGTTCTACGTCTAATACCTCCTCCCCCGCCACCATTTCCCCCTCCAGTTGTGCTTACACTTCCTTTTTAAATAAAAAAATTTTTTTCAAAAAAATCCTTTCTAATTACCATCATTATCGTCATTCCCTCCATCAACATGTAGAATGTCTTGAAAACGGACGGGTGAAGAAAAGAATCGACCCAAAATAACAATAACTGTAAGCATTGAAGATAAAGTACAGCAAACAACCATTGCTGTTGGAAGTACAACAAACTAGAGAAGGAATGAGGAATTAATTAAATTTTGAAGGAAATTTACCACAGAAAGAAGAAATTTCTTTCGATGATTTTGCCAGGCATAAGAATAAAATATTGTTATAATCTAAAAATTAATTAATTATTTTAAAAAATATTTATTGGGTGTACTTTAGCCGGTGGCCTACTCAGAAACGGGTCAAATTACATACCATTCGATATGAGGTATTTCCGCAGATAGAGAGTGGTACCATTCGACTCAGCTCGCCGAGACGAATTGAATGGCATGTAATTTGACCCGTTTCTGAGTGGGCCACCGGTAAAGTATATCCTAGTTATTTATCTACCAAAGTCCAAAGGGCCAATTGAGCTTGAACAATATCCGCTAAAAGTGATTGTCTTTGTCTACCCCCATTATTTTCCGAAGAAGAAGCCTTTAAAAATATTTTTTTATTTTAAAATTAAAAAATAATTTTTTGCTTACATTATTTAAAACATTCCATAAATTAATTAAATTTTCTCTAGCGGGGGAATTAATATTTGACATTTAAAAAAATTAAAGTTGTGAGGATATTGCAAAAATATTCTTAAAAATAAATGGGAAATATAAAAAATAAATGCGGGGACGCCAAAAATTGAGGAAATGAGAAAAGAATATTTTGACCTTAATATGTCAGCAAATATTTAAAAAAAGAGGGGAATAATAACTAAAAATACCCCCCCCCCCCTTACATATTTAATTGTTTATTTAAAGGTTTAACAATGCTTATTTAATTAATTAGATTTTAAATAAATCTAGTTAAGGAATGAAATTTAAAAAAAATAATAAAAAAATTAATTGTTAGATAAAGAATCAATAAAAATGTTTGTTATTTTTGTTTTAGTTGTCTTTTTTATGAGGAAAAATAATTACAAAATAAATATTTTTTGGTTCCTTTTTCCCATTTTTTATTCAAAGAATTCGACTATTGTCCAGTTTATACGTCCAATCAAACTTTATACGTCTAATGAAAAGTTTATACGCCTAATCACATATTTTAAGTACCCGGTTCTGCACTATATTACCATAAATCTATGAAAATGGAAAGCTCTACTCCTCCAGAGACCAGGCCATAGGTTTTAACAAATAAAACCGGGTACTTAAAAATGTGATTAGGCGTATAAACTTTTCATTAGACGTATAAAGGTGCTTAAACTGGACAAGTGCCAAAAATTCTCCCCCTTTTTCTCACCTCACTTAAGCACATACTTAGTTTATCCAATTCTTCAGAAGAACAAAAATCATCAGAAAGCCATTCCTTAAACAAATATTTACTAATTTTTAAATGTTTAAAATAACTGGATTTAAAATAGTTTCTGTTTCTCTTCCAGCCGACAAAGAACTGGCACTTCCTACTTTGCCAATTCCGTTTACACTTCGTCTCCTCTCAAATTCCTTCATTTTATTAATTAAACTGGAGTTCTTTTTAAAATATTTTTTTTAATTTTTTAAGAGTTCCTCTAAAACAAATTTTCATTTTTAATTAATTAATAAATACATAGTATATAAATAATAATTTATTAAATTAAAATTATTTTTTTTATTAAAATCCTTCTCTTATTTTTAAAATTAATAAATCTATAATGGGAAGAATAAAAAATATTATAATCGAATATAAAGATTAGATAAATAAATGATGAATTAAATATTGTATATTAATAATAATAACGCGAAAGTGTTATATTAGAATATTTAAGAAAATTTATTTGATTTATGAGAAAGGGATAAAAACGATTTTTGATGATTTTTGTAGAGATAATTTTGTAATTTTTTTGTAGATTTTAAATCAAGAAGAGAATTAATAATTAAAATAGTTTTTGGATATTCGTCGGTATTTTAAAATTCAGAGTTTAATACATATTTAATTAATAAAAAATTAACAACTATACTTAAATAATTACCCTCTGTTTCTTTAAAATATTAAAAAATGACCTAAATTTTATTGGAACATTTTAAGAGTCAAAAAGTAATTAATTTCGTCCATATTTCATTGAGATCCTCTCAAACTCACTTTCAAATAATTACCCCTCCATCGATACCCCTCCAGCGAGAGCTTACCCAGAGTAATTATTTGAGCATATACAAAACAATGTGTCCGGAAATGATATAACCACCCTGGATAATTCTGCTTTAGATGGATGAAAAAATCCACAAAGATTCTGGTTAATAGAAAATACAAAAGATATTCAAACACGAAAATAAACGAAAAGCCATTTCAAGAAAATATTTTACAAAAATGTAAGTGGTTATAAAATCATTTCTGGACACAGTATATTCATATTAATTTTTAAAATATTTATTCACTTAATTAATTAAAAATACACAGCTGACAACAAAAATTAATAAAAAAAATATTTAATCAATTACCTAATTAATATAGTAAATGTCTTTAAATAATAAAGAAGAAAACGAGAAAATATTTGCTTGTTTTTGGTTTTATCTGATAAAAAATTATTTTTATGATAAATTCCAATTCATGGAAAAATTCAAAAAAATTTTCTTTTAAAAGTGCTGCTTCAGCAAAAATGAATTTTTTTATAAAAAAAGATTATACATATTTTTAATGAAAACAAAAATAGTAGTCTTTTTTATTTAAAAATTGAGAAAAAAATTATTGTTTTTTATCAATTTGTTTTTATCAAGGATGGAACCATTTACACATATAAATTAATAAAAGAAAATAATATTTTTTCTTAAAATTAAACTAACAAATAAGTGAGAGGTAGAGGAGAGGGATTGATAAATTAAAAATAAAATTAAAAAACAGGTTTTTATTTATTTATTAAATATTGTAAAGATTTAAAATAAGAATTGTTTTCTTGTTTTTTAATGAGTGACTTTTTTGTTTACAAAAAAGGGAAAATTTAAGAAAAAAGTGTAAATCTCAGAATATATTTTTTTTATTTAAATATTTAAGTAAATGAGTCAAATTAATTAAAATAATATTAAATTAATAAGGTCTAATTAGAAAAGAATTTTAGTAAACAAAATAATAATTATTTTGTCGGCATTTTATTTTATGATAAAAAAGTAATAAAAAATTTGTTCGGGAAGAGAAGCACTTATTTTAAAGTATTTATTATTATTAAATAAAGTCTCGATAAATTAATTTAAATGAAGAAAGAAATAAAAAGATTTTTAGCTACGCTAAAAAGAATAAAATTTAGAAATTTATTCTCGCTCAAGCCCCTTTGGGGATATATGTGGTAGACTTTTCGGTCGAGGGTCGAGTTGCTGTCGTACTTTAGATAATTAAGAATTTATATCAAAATTGATCAACTAAGTACGTACTTACAGATATGTGTACTTGGAAGTAAGGAGGTCGATTAAAAAGTACAGTACTTCCAAAATAAGTATGGATCGCTTATACATAAATTACTAAAAAGAAAATTTTTTAAAAATATTTTCAAAAATACTTTTTCCCTATTTTTCTTTGTTTTTTTATTAAAAATAGATAGATACCGAATAACTGATAAAAATTTGGAAGCAAAAATATTATGAAAATAATTTCTCTTTAACGAAAAATTATCTCAAAAAATTGTTTTAAAAAGATAAAAAATATTTATTTATTTATGTACTTAAATATTTATTTATTAATATTAGGACATAAAAATGATTTTTTTCAAATTTCGGTTGAGTCTAATAATGAAAAAATGAAGGTTTCGCTGTAACGAGGAATCAATTGTTTAGCAAAACTTGTTTTTTTTAATTTTTTATTAATTTTGTAACAAACATTTTAAATAAAGGAAAAATGTTGATATTTAATTATTTTTTAAAGAAATAAAATTAAATAAAAATTAGTCGTTTTTAAATCACAGCTATTATAATAATAATCTGTTAATTTTTAATTGATATGAAAATATTAATTAAAAATATTTTTAATTATTTTTAGGAATATCATAAACATGAACATAAAATTAGATTATATGGAAAATGAAAATAAAAACCAATCATAGAAATTTCATATCTAGAAGGTCTTATTTAATGTTTGGCAATTTATTCATTATTATTTTTATAATTAAAATTAATATATACTTTAAATAATTAACAATTTATATCAAAATAGATCAACTAAAAATAAACTAAAAATATCAAAGTTTATATTTTTCTAATAAAAAGAAAAAAAGTTTTTCGCATTTTTTATTACCAATTTTACGATTTTTCTTTCTTAATACTACTGCAACGGATTTGCTTAAATTATATGAGTACTAGTTAAAAATTAAAATCTTTTGATATATGTACTATTTAAAGATCAACAAAATTAAATTGATCAAACTATTTATAAATAATTTGATTTTGCTGGGAAAAGTTCAAAAAATTTTAATTAATTTAAAATTTAAAGGATAATTAAATAAATAAATATGTACATGAAATTAGTAGAACTAAAAAAAGGAAATCAAAATTAATTTAAATTAAAAAAAAATTTAAAATTATTTTTGTAAATATGTATTTTATAACGCTAAAATAAAATATATTAATGTTTTACAACTGACAACAAACAAAGTCTACTTAATAAAATATTTGCGAAAGCAACTCAAATATTTTTATATATTTGAGACCTAAATATAAAAAGATAATTAAATAAATATGTACACATTTACAATTCATGTGAATTATAAATGATTAAAAAGAGTAAATAAAATAAATATATTGTAAGTTTTTCTCTATATTTTTTAAATATTTTATTTGCTTCGAACTTTGTACTCTCTATCTACTACACAATCAACACCCCCCCCCTCCTCCGTCACTCGGCCAAGAAATACTTTCTGTCCCCGCAAATTTGCCTAATGCAATTGGTGCACCAAAATGGGAAAAAAGTAGACGAACTTTGCTCTCAAAATTTATATTTAAATATATTCTTTGTGTTTGATATACAGTCGTGGAAAAAAGTATGGAAGCGCTAGAAAATTTTTTCTTAATTCTTAATTTTTCATTCAAAAAATACGTTCTATATACCAATCGAAAGCTCTATTAGTATCTCAGTTGACATGTTTCTGCATTTTTCATGAAAATGAAAATTGGCCGAGATAATCCGGATCTACCGGATATACCAAATCCCATTTTTTCGGAAAAATTTTTCGGAACAAATTTAACAAACCCAAATGATAAAGCATATTTTTCTGAGTATTTTCCACAAAACCGCTTAGAAATATCTTTTTTCGGAGCAGAGATATGATTTTTTGAAAATCGCATTCTTCCCTTAAAAATCGAATTTTTTGCAAAAAATGACCAAAAATACGATTTTCAAAAAATTATATCTCTGTTCCGGACAAAGATATTTCTAAGCGGTTTTGTGGAAAATACTCAGAAAAATATGCTTTATCATTTGTGTTTGTTAAATTTGTTCCGAAAAATTTTTCCGAAAAAATGGGATTTGGTATATCCGGTAGATCCGGATTATCTCGGCCAATTTTCATTTTCATGAAAAATGCAGAAACATGTCAACTGAGATATGAATAGAGCTTTCGATTGGTATATAGAACGTATTTTTTGAATGAAAAATTAAGAATTAAGAAAAAATTTTCTAGCGCTTCCATACTTTTTTCCACGACTGTAGGTAAAGAAAAATAAATTATTTTACTAATTTTGAACAGCGTTTGGTTTGCTTGTACCAGAATTCGTACTTGTACCTGTGTACGAGTACAAGAAAAAAATAAGTCAGGTACGAGTATGAGTAATGAGCAAATCATCTTGTACCTCCCATAATTTGTCATTATTTTTTTGATAGAAATGTCAAAAGAATTAAATTACTTTCAGTTTTCTTATGAAAGAAGTTTGGTTTGAAAATTAAGGAATGAGTAAGTTGATAGGCTTTGCTCAATTTGATTGTGGTATAGAGTTAAGCTCGAATCTAAAATTGGGAATGAGGTTTCCTCCCAAAAATATAGGATTGAAACTTGTTCTAATTTATTTTTAAATATTATCAAAAATCGTGAAAAAATAATTTAAAAATTTAAATTTACTCCAAAAATTTCAAATTATAAATCTTCATGTTCTTTTTGTTGCCAATCATCACTTTCTCTAATTAATACCCAACCTTCATTTCCAACTTTAGCCAATACTTTCCCTTCACCTTCCTCTTCTATTTTTTCATTAAATAATAAAAGTTCAGCTTCTGCTTTCCAAAGTCCAGACAATATTGGGTGGGCTAAAGGGTCCTCTAAGGGTAACCAACCATCAAAAGGAAAGAATTTAGAAAGAGGAATTATTTGGCCAATTTTGGCTTTTAATAATACTTTGCAAGCATTTGGTAATAAATCACAGAAAAATGGAGAACTTTAAAAATATTTAAAAATTGAATAATTATATTACCAAAATTCATCAGAAATAAAAGAACTTTGACTCTGTCCTCTATCACATATTTTCCCAACAAAAAAACTGTCTTGTTCTAAAGTCAATGATAATTCTAATGTTTTATTTAAATTTCCAAGAGAAGGAAGGGGCTTATTTATAATAACTTCCCCTACAAAAATTAATATTTAAAAAATGAAATATATTAATTTATTTACCAGAAATTAATTTTAACCATCCAGGTAAATGTATTGTTGCTAATTTATTTTTACCATCACAAACTGGCCTTTTTTGTGAGTCAAAACTTTGTAATTGGACATTTCGAAATTGAAGATAGTCTTTAAATAAAAATTATTTTCTTAATCCCCACTCCTCCCCCCCCCCTTCTCTCCAATAATTACAAAATTAATTTAAAAAAACCTTCAGATAATAAATCATTTATTTTCAAAATACAATTATTATTATTTGTAAATTCAAAACATTTAAATGAAAATATAATTAGAAAAATAAAAATTAGGAACATTATTTTTAATAAAAATATTTTGAAAATACATGTAAGTGAAAATAAAATCTGATGATTATTTTTAAAAAAATAACAAAAAAATATTTTTAATTATTAAAGTAAATGTCAATTATGTATTTTAAATTGATAAAAATTAATTATTTTATAAAAATAATTATTTTAGAAGAAAATTAAAAATATTTTTATGCTAAAATTTAAAAAAAAACTTTTATTTTTAAATAAAAAATATATAAATATTCAAAGCAAACCGGGAATTTTAAAATTAAATTAAAATAAAAATTAAAAATTCGTTAAATTATTTTTTTGGAATGAAAGAAATTTTGCAGACTATTTTTTGTATTCGAAATAAACACCGGGAAAGTGAAGAAAAAAGAAGAAAAAAGTGAATTGAAAAAGCGAAAATGGAAATTAAAATTCTAAAAAAAAAGAAAATAAACCCGTCTAGGTTGATATTAATTAATTAATTAATTCTATTCATTATCATCATTCTCTAATTTATTTAAATTTATTTTCAAATACATAACCATGAGAAGTACCCTAAAAAATTAAAAATTTTAAAAGAGAATTAAAATTTAAATAAAATCGGTCCCCAACAATTTAACAAATTAATGAAATTTTTAACTAAAATCTTCAATTAATTCCCAAAATTCCCCCCCTTTTTCCTTTTTTTTAATTAATTTTTAATTTAAATTTAAAAATACCAACAGTTATTTTTGCAGCTAAAGTTTTTGTATGCCAAACTAAAATTTCTTTAGGTTCTTCATTCCAACCAAAAACTTCAACTTTCTCACGAGGAATGTTAAATTGAGAAAGAAAACATGATTCTGGAGCTCCTTTAATGCATCCCTCGTGGAAGCTTGCATTGCCAGCCAAAATTAAGTTTAAACTAAAAAAATTTAAATAAATTTAATTAAAAGTACTCTCAATTTCCCCAAAAATAATTTTCAAAATTATTTTCAACTTACTTTATAGCAAATCCAGCCATATCAACAGCAAAACGTCTTGAAGGTGCGTAAATAACATCCCAACCAATTAATGTTCCATTTTTATTTACTCTTGGGGCTTCTACTTTTGCACCACCAGCCAAAGCTTTAAATTAAAAAAGAATATTTTTTTATTCAAAAATATATTTCTTTACCAACAGCCCATACTCCAATTGTTTTTACTTTTTTAATATAATTATTAAATAATCTAATGTCATAAGTATTATCATCATCAGCAAAATAAACAACCTGAAAATTTAAAAAAATAATAAAAAGTTGTGTATTATTTAAATATAATTTTATTTAATCTAGTTTATAAGGACTTTCTACTAGGATTGTTCCCCGGGTACTTTATGGATATGTCACCCCCCTCCTATTTTGAGTCCCAGAGTTTTCCTTAAACGTAGAAAATGGTCAGAGATTATTTTCTTCTCCATGTCAATCATTTTTCTTTCTTCAAGCAAAATAAATGAAATGTGGTAAATGTTGAAACAAAATGAGTGAAATGTAAGTACAAAATATGTGAAAAGGCAAAATAAACATGCAAAATACTTGAAGAAGAAAAAAATGATGACATGGAGAAGAAAATAATCTCTGACCATTTTCTACGTTTAAGGAAAATTCTGAGACTCAAAATAGGAGGGGGGTGACATATCCATAAAGTACCGTTCCCCGTCCTCGAAAGTCGGGGAATTTGAGTTTTTTGAAAATTCCCCGAACCCTCCCCCCCCTGGCGTTGCCTCCCCGAAAAGTTATCCCCGTGCTCCCCCCTCCCAACAGCATACTTTCTACTAAATTAAATTTAAATCTTTATAAAGGCAAATAACAAAAATATTTATTACTCAGCACTTATTATCCAATTAACTTTCGAAATAAAAATAGAAAGTAAAGAAGAAGATTACAATTAATTATAGAAATTTAAATTAAAAAACTAACAGCATTTTTGTTATAATTTTTATAATTTTTCCTAACATATTCTAAAGCAACATTTCTGTGTGTCCACCCACGAAGGGGAAATCCAGGTTTTGTTGTTGTATAAAAATATGTGTAAGGAATTTTAGAACGTTGTAAAATTTTTTCAACAGCTGGAGAAGTATGGTTAGCGTCTTCTACAACAACCCTTAAAAATGAAAATTTTAAAAAATAATTTTTAATAGAAGAATAAATTATTTACCAATGTAAATTCTGTATATGCATAAGTGTTTGGGAAAGTCTAGAAAATAAATTTATAAATTATTTTTAATAAAAAAAAAGAATTAAATAAGAGTCAATTTAAATTAGACTACCTACTTTAAATGCTCAAATAATTAGCCTGGATAATTATCTTTCCAACCTATGGCTGAGAGGATAATTATTTTAGAAAAGTTAATTATTCGAGTAAATATGGTATACTAAAGATTTTTAATACATTCAAATAATACAAAATCAAAACCCCAAAAAAATATTATAAAGGATATACATATTACAATTGCCCCCTCTAACCTAGTCATATCAGCAAGCCTTTCATGTCTCTTATATGTTGGAGTAATTAAAATAACAGTAGTTCTTTGTTTAATTTGTTCATTCCAAATATAAACTCTCCAAATAGCAAACAATAAAATAATTGTAAGTAAAAAAGAAAATAATTTTGAATTAAATAAACGATTTAAAGGCCAACGTCTCAATAAATATTTTCCATTAATTTTAGAAAATTTTAATTTTGAAGGAGAACATCTCCGATTATTTAATTGTTTTTGGTGGGGAATTAATAAATTTGTTGAATTTGGAGAAGTTAAAGAAGAAGAAAATAATTTTAAATTTGGGGGGATTGGGGAAAGTGAACCAGAAGAACAAGAATCCCCTCCACCAGAATCTGTTGACCCGTCATTTGAGAAACGTCTACATTTGTTATTAAACATTTTTTGGAGAGAATTGAAGAGATTTTTATTTAATTTCTAAAAAAAATTTAAATAAAGTTTTTCTTTTTATATAAATTAAATCGAGTAAATAATGTGGAAAAAATATGATAATAATAAATATGTGGATTTAAAAATCACTAAACTCTATTGTATAAGACAAATTTTTGTTGGTTAAAGATTGTTTAAAAATAAAAAAAGTTTTTTTATTATTTTTTTAATAAAATAATTTTAAACAAAAGGAGTTTAAATAAATTTTGTTTTTTATTATTAAAAAATATTTATTTAATAAAAAAAGATTAAAGTTATAAAAAGTAAAGATTAATTTATTAAAAAGCAAAATAAATTCAGATTACTAAAAAATTAATTAATTAATCATTATAGAAGTATGTTCCTTTTTTGAAATATTTTTTAAAATAATTTAATGAAACATATTTTTTAATAACCAAGGTATGTAACCAAAACTTTATTTTTAGAAATAAATTTTTTTTAAAAAACTGTAGAGAGGAACTTATTTATTTAAATATATTTTACATAATTATTTTTTAGTCTTTTTAATAAAAAAAATATTTAAAAATTGTTTATTTTCAAAATATTAGCAAGAAATAAATTTTAATTTTTAAAAAAATAAAATGAATCAGATGTTGAAATCTTAAAAATACTTTAAATAAAAAATTAAATTAAGGGAAGTTAAATAAAAAATATATTTAACAATGTATTAATATATATTTATTAAAATTCTAAACTTTAAAAACTCTTAAATATCAAAAAGTCTGTTTGGATTATCCAAAATTTCTTTTGTTGACTTTGATAAGAGGATTATTTGATTAAAAAATATTTTAAAAAAATGATGTATGTATATATTTAATTTTGATTTACTAAAAAATAAAAGTTTTTATTTTAAAAAGAAAGAAAAAAGAAAAATATTTTTAAAAAAAATAATCGAAAGACGATCAAGTTTTTTGAAAAAAAAAGAAAAAAATATTTTTGTGTGCAGACAGAAAAATAAATGTTCCAAGTAATTTGGCCCTCCGATTGACCTGTTACACTCAAATAAATAAATATTTTTTTACTTAAAAATTATGAAACGTTGAAGAAGAAAAGAAAATCATAAGAAAATTGGAAAAAGAAATGAAAAAGAAATTAGAAAAATTTTTTAAATCGAAAAATAATTAGAAAAAATTAATTTGTTGGGTTTGGGTTCCGAAGCCTTTCGAGGATTATACAAATTCTACTCTTTAAATAACTTTATTTACATCTAACTATTTACAAATTAAAATATATACATAAGGGAGGGAAAAGGGGACAATTACAAGAGTCTGGCCAGACCTGATAAAAACACTTCTAATTAGATTTGAATGACCATTTTGGATGAGTATTTATAGGGGACATTAATAAGTCGAGATTGGCGAAAACAAGTGAATAACAAATATTAAGATAAGGGTCGGGAATTGTGATAGACTCTGATAACGGTCGGGATTCCTTTTAATATAGAAAGAGGTCAAAATATATGTGCCTGTGAATGCATGTGAATGCAACATTTATTTTTAGTTTGTTTATTTGATTAGGAGGGATACAGCATTCCTTCCCCCTTCGAAAAGAACGTCCACGTTCTACTTTTCGGGAAATTTGCTAAGGCTGCCTTTTTAATTAACTGCTTTTCTTTAAACTAACTTTTCTCCGATTAAACGGGTGGCACATTAATTTTCCTTTAATAAGGGTAATTTAGGATTATTTTAAAATATATATTTTTTTAATTTTAATTCTCTAAGCATTATTTTTATTTTCTCATAGTACAATTATGAACGACGGTTTTTTTTAAAAAATATTTCCTGACTTTTTTTTTTAATTTTATATTTTTTCTGACCGAGCTTTATCGTTAAAATTTTAATATTTTTTTTTGTATTATATTTTAAATTTAGTATTGTTTCTCGTCTTTATGACGGCAGCGGATTTATTTTTACTACATTTAAGTAATTATTATAAAGGCTTTAATTCTCTTTCTAATGTGTTTTTGTTTTACTTCTTTTACCTCCATGTTCTCCGACGAATTAAGTAAACACTGATGAGGAAAGAAATATTACATTACAGAACTAATGATTATTTAGGGGATATTTTACAT